TCCCCATAGCGCGACTCAGCATTGCACAGGGATGAGTCTGACAGCGCTGCTGACGCAAGACATTTGGGCACATTTATCTTTCAGGCACCACCAAGAAAATAATGTCCTCGGGACGTGGTGTGAGAGGAAAGCCTAGAATTACAGCATCCCCTCCTGGGGCTGTCTCCACTACAAAGTCTGCCCACGTTAATAATACAGTTTGCTCCACCACAGGCAGCTTACGACTCCTATTTAATGACAGATCTTGTGCACAGAAGACAAGGACTGGCCAAGGCATCAGCCCAAATGCATGGTTAGGAGGGTGTGTGTATGCACAAAAAGCCTCAAAGGGTTAATGAGGCAGCAGAGCAGTTGCTTCAGGCGATTTATTTCCCCTTACTTTCACTGTAGGAACGGGGAACACTTGTTCCTGTGAGACCAGCAGTCACACCATGTTCCACACCACACAAAGGCAAGAATCTTCTATGGTGAGGAAAGAGCTTGGACCAGGAGACCTAAATGTTTCCCTGTCTCTTGAATCCTGCAAACAATTGGAAGACTGCACTTCCCACTGTGCATCACAAACCTCCATAGGGATGGAGATCCATCATTCCCACACTCTAGGGCAAGGTTTTGCTCTCTGCTGTGTTCTCCGGTAGAGAAATAGCAATTCCTGGGTCTTCTCATGGACCATTAGCTGCTGAAAGCAGGCAATGAAAAACTAAAAATACTTTCCCTGAAAATACTACCTTGGTAGAACTATAGAATAGGATCCTCCCTTCTTTACTGCCTGGTTTGTGATCAGGAAATCCATCTTGTGGTTGTTCTGTAGAGCCCATGCAACACCATTGCTGCACCTCCAAGACCCCAGCAAGCTGGGAGAGCTCTGATGGTTTAACTGGGAAAAGAAAGAGCAGGGATCCTTCCTCTGGGACACCTTTGCAGTGGCAAAGGCTTTGGTCTCAGGCACAGAAATAGCTCACAGCGAACAGGCAACAGCAGAGAAAGTGGTTGTCTCTGCCCGAGGAGAAGGGCTCAGGCTGCAATTCTCCTCGCCAGGGAGCTTCTAAAGGAAATGATTTTTCACTCAGGTGGTTAAAGGCTTTCTGCAGCTTCAGGCTGGCAGAGGAGGGTTGGGGCAGGGGTGTGCAAGGGGGATGCTAAAGAAAAGGATATGATTAGTTTATTCACGAAAATTTTCTGTCATTTGCCAGGAGCCAGAGGTTGCAACACACTGCAGGGGAAAGAAAACACAAACCAACTTTGCATCATACAAAGGAGAAAATGATTAAAATCCCATGCTCGGGGGGGGCCCAGAGTCTATTCCACCAGCCTGTCAGCTGAGACACCGCTCTGTAGGAATCTCCCTGCCACTGCTGCTTCTGCTCGACCAGCATCACCTCTGGGTTTGGCCACCTGGAAGTTCTAGCAAAGTCACAAACCCAGAACCCATCCAAAGGGTATCTGGCACAACATCCCACAGCAACGGAGTCCATCAGCCACAGGGGTATAACCTGACCCTTAAATAGTCTGGTTATTACTACATTTCAGTACTGAGGGGTGTAATCCCAGGTAGGAGACAGAAGGATGGCTGATGGGCAGAATACCTCTATTAAGAGAAATTAATATTTTTTTAAATTATTTTTATTTAGACTGACATATAGAGAACAGCCACCTCCTTCCTACCCTTTTTCTAGACCAACCTGATCTAGTCAAAGATATTGCTGCTCATTGCAGAAGAGGCTGGACCTTTGAATGTCCCTTTTAACCCAAGCTATTCTATTACTTTATGATTCTTAAGAAAGCAACCACATCTAGGGTGGAATGAGCTCAGCTGCTGAGAAAGCCCCCAGCCCTCCCCCACGCATGTAAAAACCATTTTCTTAGGCAAAAAACACAGCAAAGATTCCTCTCAAGCAGAAAATGCTCAATTGCTCCATTGCTCTGTTTCCATCCCTTCTTTCCCTGGAGAAAGGCAAGAAGCCAGCCTCACATTAACAGCAGCACTCCAGCCACTATCATGCTTTGGGAAGCTCCATCCTTACTAAAGCAAAGGTTAATTGTTCCACATTCATTTGCCAGACTTCAAGAGATGAGTTCTACAACATTAGGGTGAGTTTTTCATCTCTTTAATGCAATTTTTGCATCTCTGGGAGAAAGTCCGAGTTAAAAAGTGCCAAAGGCAAATATTATCTAATTCTTCTAATGGAAAGCTTCTAATGGAAAGCTAAAAGTCACTTTTCGCAACTGCTACAGAGTCAGAAAGGGTCTCAGAACAAAGCCACTTGAAAAGCAAAAATGTCTTTGAGCTATAATGGACTTTAATGAAGTTAAAGAAAACCACTAGCAGGAAAAGGCCAGAGTGCAGAGCAGCCAGGTGTCTGTCTTACAGACCTGGAAGGGCCTCCCCCACAGCCTTGTGCTCCATCCACTGAGCAATCACAGCAAACACGTGTCCTCCCTCGCTTGAAAAAGCCTTTGGTGGATCCCATCTGCCTAAAAGCCATTCTCAAATAAAAACATAATCTTTCAGAAAAGCACGGACTGAGAGTAATAAAGACAACTAAAACTGTACCAATCCGTAGAGGACACAAGCAAAGATTTACTCAGGGAATTTGAGGCAACTCAGGTTAACCCAGAATTACTGTTTATGTATTCAAACACCAAACACGATTAGCTGACATCTCCATTACTAAAAAAAGCCATCTGCCAAGCCAAGCACATGTTACTGAACCATAGCAGCAAATTATTTCTCCTTGTTGTCATTATCTCCTCTTTTCCTGGACCTCTCCCCTACTGCCTGCAAACAATTCCTGATGTTTCTGTAAGCTGAGCATTCCTGCTAGAGCCAGAGAGATGCTGAGCTTGTTCCAGATTCGCTCTTTTGGAGCTATTCATTACACTAAGAAATCACAGCACAAGTTTCATCATATAATATCTGGGGTGGAGAAATCAGGGGGCAGGGAGGGAGGGAGGGCTTTTAAGGATGCATCTTCACTAAAAACATAAAACCAACGAAAACCAGCCCCAAAACCAACTCAAGAGAAGCCAAGGGGAGAGATGCTAACAGTTTTTACTGTATGGGTATGCTGAAATCTCAATCTGCCTGGGCTCCACTGAGTTAAGCAGAGTATTTGAGTGGCCAGACCCTGCCTCGGTCACTCAGGAGAAGAGAGGGTTAAGGAACAAAGTCTGGAGAACACTATTCCATTGCCTGGCTGGTTCAGAAAGAACAGAGCCAAGTTCAGTGCAGATTTTATAGACAGACAAGTGACAACCCCTTGAGCAGACATCAGCTCCTGCTGGACACAGAATGCAATGCACATTTTTGGGGAACATTTGAGAATATAAAACTTTCTCATCTCTTGCAGCTCGGCCTACAAGCCCAGGAGTTCACCCTAGACTTATTGTCATATCCAGTGGGCACAAGCAGAACCCATCTTCACGTTTCCTCCTCCAAAAAAGAACCAACTTCAAATTGTTTTAAATTTTATTTAAATAAAATGAAAGCTATTGGACAACCCAACAGCATTTTGGTGTGGAAGTGAACTGCTAACTTCCAAAGTGTATTTGTTAGCCAGAGATGCCTGACATTTGGCCACAACAGACCCCGAGATCCTCAGAGCAGGTTGTGTCCCATGAAGTTTTGACTCAGAAGATGCATGTGGCCCATCACAGCCACTCAGGGCTCCTTGGGCTGCTCTGATGTGGCCCAGCTGCCCCCAGTCCCCATGGGGCTGCAGAGGGCAAAGGAATCAACCCCATCAGCTTGAGCCGAGCCAATGCTCTTGCCAGCAGAAAAATCTGCTCTCCGAGACCACAAAGGGCATTTGAGACTGCTCCTGACACCCCAAAAAGGAAACGTTACCCAGCTAACTTTAAATGGGAGCCACATTGCCCAGGATGTGCAAAGTCCAGTCCTCTGCAATCTCTCACTGCTGTTGGCCAGAGTCACCTTTGTCTTTTAGCTCCAGGGGTATTACTGGGGATACAGTCCCAACAGATCTGTGCTCAGATGCTTGGCTCTTCCACTATTTGATAGCACGTTATGCATCATACACACTAAAAAACCTAAACTCCCTTATAGAACTGCAAAATTAACTCAGTTTTCCCATGTTTTGCTTTATTTCTTTTCCTTCTAAGCCTCCCCCCTAAAAGCACTGCTCCTTTGTTGGGACACAAATGGTGACAAGCTCGATGGCAAACTTCCAGTAAGCAATGTTTAGCTTAAGTGTGGCATTTCGGCTTAAAATCATCAGGTACTCTATTCTAGATAATGAAAACAATGAGAGAAATGAGATGTGGAGAACCCATCCATCAGTAGTAGAGTGATCTCCCCCAAAGTTTTGCCCTTTTGTAAAAATAATTGCAGGTTCCTTTCTGTACGGAACAGGAGTTGGTGTCATATTCAACATATAAAAACTGGAGCACCAGGAGGGGAGTGACCAGCTAGGAGAGATTCTTCCAAATACTTGCAGAGTGTGTATGACCACATGCAACAAGACACTCTCTTCCAAGTTCCTCCAAAGCCCCAACACACACCATCATGGGGAGTATCACTGGATTAGAAAAGAATAATTGAAGATTTTTCTTCTATTTCCCTCCCATATTTGAGTTGCTCTCTCTGACCTCATTCTACTGCTCAGGATTTGGGAAACACTCTGGAATATGTTCTCTTGCATCAATGTGAAAAAAAAGAGAGATATATTGAGAAGACACAGCGTCCCCAACAACAGTGAACCCAACAGTTCAATGCCTGCTTGGTCCAGGCGTTCCCTTCCAAGGCCACTCTCTGTCCCACACCTCACCACCAACTCCATCCTCCTCCTATCTTGTCCTGAGCCTGCCCAGGAACACCTGGAAATTGCGTCCCCCCAAGATCCTGGATCACACCCGGCTTCACTCCATTTACCCAGACGCGTTCGCCCACCACAAAGTCTCCCAGGAAACCATCCCCTAAGGAGGGGACAAATCTTTGTCCTTTGCCTTTCTAGGGCGGGGGGGGCCCACGATCAACTCACCAGCACGCGATCTCCGAGCCGTAAGTCCTTCTCCCCTTTTTTCACCGACCCACTGTCCGAGAGGTTAGATCCGGACTCGTTGCCCGTCTTCATGGCGCTGTTGAGGACGCTCTCCCGCAGGGGGATGACGCGGGTGGAGAGAGGTGGCGTGGCCGTCCCCGAGTGCAGTGACAAGTTCTGGGCCGTCAGGGAGTCCACGGAGGGGGCGTCGCTCCCCGAGCCCTCGGCCACCGGCTGCCGGGTCAGCTTGGACGGTCGGGTAAAAATCCCCTGGAGCGGTTGGCATTCAAAGTACCGCACTCCACCGACGGAGCCGTCATTCTTACCCACCGGGTCATCCAGAACGACCCCTGCCCACTGGCCCGGAGCAAATTGCGTCTCCCCAAGATACTGGATCACACCCGGCTTCACTCCGTTTACCCAGACGCGTTCACCCACCACAAAGTCTCCCAGGAAATCATCGCCCACCTCGGCAACCTTTGAACCCGACTTCTCGGCGCTGGCGGTGGAGGCGGTACCCTGCTTGTGTAAAGGTGAGCCTGTGGATCAAGGGAAAAGAGGTTTTGGTATGAGGAGAAAATCCTAAAAGGCAGCCAAAACACCAGGAAAGGGCATTTGCACAAGGGGAAACATCTGGGACCGTGCCTTGGGGTGGAGGTTAAAACCTGCGCAACCCCGTTACTTACACATCTCCCTCAGCAGGGAAGAAACCTGCACAAAAATCCCTGTGCCCTGCCCAGTTCCTGCAGGTCTTGCACACAACACAAAGAACAAATCCTATGTCTTCACCCCCCTTTATAATGCCCACTTACCCCCCAGCCCATCCCAGCATCAGGGGGTATTTTGCCCGGCAGCACTAATGGGAATAAGCTCAAAGAGACAGGAGGTGTTTAAGTGCTTTGGGATTAAAAGGAGCCCAATGAACTGCTGCTTTGAAGAAAGATCCCAAAATCATCCTTTCACCAAAAATATAAAAAAAAAAACATATCAAGAAAGAAATAAAAGGGTGAGGTACTGATGTTTTAGTATCCAGTGCTATGAGAACTCCATGTGTCTGGGTTCAGGCAGTTAGTCCAAGCATTGGGAGTCCCACTAAGGGCACTAATAGCTCCTGTGGGACCACGCAGCTGCCTTTGGAAATGACTCAGTTTTCCCAGCTGCTGGTGTGTGCCCTTTGCTGGAGCAGAACCAGGCAGTGAGCAGACACCTGGGGTATGTTGAGTATAAACAGCACATCTATAAACAGGAAGCATCTACAAGCCCTTCCACACACAGCCTTCCTGGGGCTGACACCCCACGCAATGAATTCAATAAAATCTGCAAAAAAAAGAATGCTATTAGCCCAGCATCATAGAATCACAGAATCTTCTAGGTTGGAAGGGACCTTAAAGATCATCTTGTCCAACCGTGTCCAGCCCATGGAGCTGAAGCCAGAGCTCCGGCAACACTTCGCTGGGAGAAGGAAAACTGCAGGTGATGCTGGAAATTCACTGTCCTGCTCACATTCTTCAGTGCACCCTTGATGAGCCAAACTCTCCATAACACACAAGGAGAACCTAAAACATCACCAGCATCTGAAGGGGAACAAAGGCAACGCGACCAAATGAGTCTGCAGTGACCCCACTCTTGCTGACCCCGGTGTAAAAACTCTTATTACAAACTTTGGGCTTTCAGCAAAAAACAAGGACATATGGACTTCATTAAAGCTCTCTCAAGGCTAAAGGGGGAGGTTAAGTAAAGCCCTAAAAGAAACCACACAAGAGATGGAGGAAATAAGCTTGCAAAATAAGATCCAGCAGGTCACATACCCTGCACCTTCAGTCATCCTCAGCTCTTGGTGGCACTGAGGTCCCAACTCTCCTTGAGGTGGGGTGTATTAGACCCGGTCCCACATCTCCTGTGTTCAATTAAAGCTATCTGGGCTATTTAGCCAAACTCCAAGCTGAAATTTCTGGGTGCCACCAAGCAGAAAAGCTTAAAGCACACGGAGGAAGAAGTTTTTATTGGCTACCAGATCAGGCTGACAGAAAAAGCCTGAGCAGCTGCAGAGACAAGCCCAACTCAAGTGCTTATCTGAAATGAACTGTGAAACTGGTTCAGCCTCAGCCATCACTATTGCTCAGCCGGCACCATTTCTAGGGCTCTTTCAGAAGTAATGGGCCTGACAGATCAGGCTCAGCTCCTGGAAGAAGAGAAGAACATAAAAGCTCTCAAACCAAGATACTTCAATGCTTTGCTAAAGGTCTAATGTCAGAGGAAAGAAAAGAGCACCAGCACTGCAGTACTAGTGTGAAGAATCTACAGTTTCTGCTCAACCAGCTGCATGAAGAGGGATTAATTGGCACTTTGGTTCTCATTAGACTCCGGAGACATCACTCTTGACAAACTGTTATGGCATAATTGCACCAGTTTGTTTGTGGCTGCTGGAAGGTGGCAGCACCTCTGCCTGCTCTGAATCATAGAATCACAAGGGGTTGGAAGGGACCTCTGGAGATCATCTAGTCCAACCCTCCTGCCAGAGCAGGTCTACCCACAGCAGGTTGCACAGGAACTTGTCCAGGTGGGGTTTGAATGTCTCCAGAGAAGGAGACTCCACCACCTCTCTGGGCAGCCTCTTCCAGGGCTCTACCACTCTCACAGTAAAGAAGTTCCTCCTCATGTTTAGGTGGAACTTCCTATGTTCAAGTTTGTGCCCATTTCCTCTTGTCCTGTCCCTGAGCACCACTGAGAAAAGATCAGCCCCGTCCTCCTGACACCCTCCCTTTAACCTGCTCTGATCTAGGGCAGAGCAGGGGTTAACCATGATCATACAAACTCCTCTTATGACCAGAATCACCCCCAACCTGCTCACCAGGCTTGGGCTACAGCTGGACCAAGAAAGTTGGCCAAAATGGGTGTGTTCGATGGGCACAGAAGGTGCAGTAGCATAAATCCCATCCCCGACTGACCAGCTGAGCAGCAGCTGAGCCAGCTCCCCGGGAGGAACCATCGCTGAGCTGCCTTCTCTTGGTGCTTGGGCCCTGCTGCGAAAGCTCCTCAGCCTCACATGTTCTTCATTAACCAGTTATATTTTTGGTTTTGACAAATGCCTGACTTTCAAGCTTGCCTTCCTCTCAATCTTGTAAGAGTCAGTGCCTCAAAAGGAGCTCCGTTAGGGTTACAGCATTGCAACCAAGAGCCAAAGAACCAGTTTCACCTTAAAAACTGAAAAACAAAGGATGCTTTGAGCTTTTGAGCTTTACACAAGACTTTAAATAAAAAAAAAAAAGGGGAAGGAGGAAACAGGGGTACACCGATGTGAACCATAAAGACAACCATAAGCAGAAAATAAGGTAAATATTTTCATTTCAATGCTTAATAGCACAAGACAATAAAGCAAGTCAATTAAAATACAACTTGTTGGTTCCTGAACAGAATCTTTCAGTTTAATAGTTGAGTTAGGTTGATTGTTGGACTAGATGCTCTTTAAGGTCCCTTCCAACCTAGATGATTCTATGATTCTATGAATAGCCAGAGATGACTATGGGGGTTTATCAGCAGCAATGTCTGTGACATGTCTCTCTCTTTTCATGGGTATGAGAAAAAATTAAATTATATCCTGGTTTCATGCTCGGCAGAGTGCCGTGACACACAGACCTCGTGCCACTGATGCATTTGTGACAGATATATGGAATGTGCCAAGCAGAATAGCCAAATTCAACTATACCGACCAGGAAGTATAAGCACAGAAATTTGGGGGTTCTACATCTGTATTCACAAAAGATCAAAGCTGTTTCTCTAGTCCTACTGGAGCCTGAGTTTCAGCACACTAGAAGTCTTTATTAGGGCTGTCGGTTAATGATCAAGATACAGGCTCCTTTCACTCTCACAAACACCTCTGGAACGTGGCTGGGATAAGCAAAGCCTTGGGCGGTGAAGCTTGAGCAAAGAAAGGCAGGAAAGCTGCCCAGGGCTGAACAAACAACACAGCAGGACTTCAAACCACATCTAGACTCGCTGTGCTTCACTGCAAGAGCAAACACCTTCAAAAACTGACTTGGACTGGGGGGGGAAGAAAAAAAAAAAAAAAAAAAAGAAGAGTTCATTGGTCCCTTAGTGTAACATTGTGTTCCCCCACAGAGTCAAAATTTTAGTGGGACTTCATACACTTTGTTCATTTTAGGTGCCTGTCTGACAGGCAGGGCTACCAAACTATATTAATTACACCATCGCAGGGAAACAGTCTAATTACAGGCTCCCCAGCAGAGCAGTGCAGTCAGAAGCATTATTATTCTTTAGCATAAGGCAAATTATTCAAAAAGATAGGATTTAAGTGAGGAACTGCCAGAAGACTCACCACCTTCTTTATGGCCATGCTGTAGAAACTTGTACTTTACATGACCTTCATTACCCACATATAAATAATGACTAATCCTCCAATTTTCCTACAGTGCAGCTGAGAGGCTTTTGTGCAGCAGGTTTTCAGAGAAGCCAAGAGTCACTATGATCAAGTTAAACCCATTCTTCTTGGCTTCAGGTCTGATGGACCTGAGTGGACTAAGCTCTGATCCTCCCGGTCTGGGAGTCACCAGCCCTTCAGAAGGTAAAAGGTAGGGATGAGCAACTTGTCTTTGATCCCATGGGTATCTTAAGATATCCCAAAACAGACATCAGATGACAGCACCGCTCTCCAAGACCCGACATCTGGAGTTACCCACTATCCAAGCAGCTCTTACAACTCAGGGGAAAGCCACTCAAGTGCCCAGCATTCCTGAGCTTTCTCCAGCTTGCAGACACCTAAAGAGCTGGTCTACACCTGTGTCGTTTGGATTTGCTGTTTCTGGAGAAGAAAAATCTTCTTTTTGTAGTCAGACTCCCCAGTTAAACACCAACAAGTCCTAAGAAACTCAGTAGCAGCAAAGCGAGGGTACAGATCTCAGATACGGAGTTGAGAACAAAGCTACACAAGAGAAAGAAACCCAATGAAATGTAGACTATTCCCTATCCCAACCCAGATGATGCTGATCAAGAAGCCACACGAACTCTCTGAATGTAACTATTAGGCATCTAACTCAGCAGCTCACCTGGAAGCCAGCGATGGGGAAAGTCCTTTCGTCCTTGGTCCAGGAGGATCTCCCTCGGCTGCTCTGCCCAACACAAACCCCACTTGCTGGCTGGACTGTGCCAGCAGCTCCTCCCTCCCTTGTGCTGGGACCAGGCTCCAAGTCACAACAAGCAAGTAAACGGGACCTCTTCCACTTGGGCTTTCCAAGCTTTACAACCCTATTGTGTTCATTAGCCAGCTCATTCTTCTCAGTTTAAATGGTCTTCCTGTAGGTCACAGCTTTCAGGGCCGAACAACAATTTATAAATCAAAGTCATACGCAGCGTCCACTAAATGCTCATCTTATCTAACTCTAAATCTCTATTTTCCTTTCAGCTTTTGTAAAGCCCATGCATGACACATTAATAATAACCACGCCAGACCTGGCACTTAGAGCCCTTTTTTGCAGACTTGTCCCATCGTTTTTAGAGGTCCAGGGTGTCAGGGTACCCCCAC